AGTTTCAACTGATACTGATCTTGTATAGGGGTCCCACTAAGGGGCTGGTGGGCTTGAACTGCTGATCTGTTGGTTGGTTGTCCAGTGTGTATCCTACAGCACCATCCTAGCTCTTTTCATATATAATTAGTGTATGGTGATGGTTATGTGTCATGGAGTTGGTTCCGACTCATAGCAACCCTGTATAGAGTTTCTACGTATATAAATCTTTATGGGAGCAAAAAGCCTTATCTTTCTCCCGCAAAACTTCTGGTAGTTTCGAACTGCTGGCCTTGAATTTAGCAGCCCAACTAATAACCACTACACTACCAGTGCTCCTTAATTAGTATATGTATGTGCATAAACTACTAGGCAAGAGCTGCCTTCTCAAAGTAGAGTTGGCCATAAAGTGCACAAGATGGCCCAACAGAAGGCAGAAATCATAGGACAATATCATTAATTTCTCATGCAAGTAACATTAATTTTGCTAAAGATAATCCAAAAACAGCTACAAGCATACATTGACAGAGAACTGCCAGAGGTTAAAGCCAGATTCAGACAAGGATGTGGAATAAGGAATAACTTTGCTGATGTCAGATGGGTCTTGGCTGAAAGCAGAGAGTACCAGAAAGATGTTTACTTGTGCTTTATTGACTATGGAAGGGCTTTTGAATGTGTGGACCATAATAAACTATAGATAAGTGTGAAGAATGGGAATGCCAGGACACTCACGAGGAACCTGTACATAGACCAAGAGACAGTTGTTAGAACAAGGGTATGAGAAAAAATTTCTGCTGGTGTGGTCCACCTTCAGGACTAGGGATACTTGGGGGTAGCAGGCTAGCATAACAAAAGGAGCTCAGCAAAGGGGAAGAAATACTTTGGTCAGCAAAGAACTTTAAAATAAGAATACACCCATCCAGAGAACAAACAAGATGGCAGAGAAGGTGGAAGTGCAGTGAGGAGCTCCATCAGCAACAACACAGATTATCGGACCAAGCAGGCTCAGGGGATGGTCCCAGAACTCTGAACCACACATAAAGGAATATTTAGAAGGTTGGAAAGCTTACAGCTAGGGGAATTTGTAGCAGAAACAAGAAATCCATTGCTTTCTAATTCAAGATGCTCCCGGTGCTGCCATCTAGGGTAACACCAAGTGAAGGAAGGATCAGAGCAGCCATGGACACCTGACAGAACCGTGGAGATAAAGGTGTGAACATTCTTTTTTTTTTTTTTTT